GTTGCACTAGTTTTGGTGAAATTGTGGTCAACTTTGGTGAAGGCATCCAAGTCTGCGATCGATCGGTGACTGGAGACTAGTCTACGGATTAGTGGCATATCTTATGGTCTAATCAATGGACTAATGATTCAAATGAATTGCAATCAAAGAGTGAGTTGTCGTCAAGAAGTGGCACACAATCTGACGGTTCAGTTGGTGTCATAAACGCACATAAAGTACGACACATACGAGTGGCGGAGGAATGCATTGGAGACACACTTTGACTCTTCAGATAATTTATTAATTCATTTAATAGTTTCATAAAATAATTACATTTATTACTAAAATCCAATTAATTTAAATAAAAGTGAAAATCATTTCTTATTCGTGTGAATAGCAGTCTTGGCGTCTCTCTTGGATTTCACTAAATCCACTAAATATTTATATCTTGCGATACAATCAGTTCGCGATCGGTTTGGGATGCACTTCGAGATCAGATCCCATCTCTCGATGCCCAGTGATGTCGGGTATGTCTTCATCGCCTGCTCTAAGAGCTGCTGTTCCTCGTTATTCCAGGGGTTGGCGTTCAGGTCAACCAAAGTGCGCGGCGCTGACCATCAAAAGTACAGTTCAGTCAAGTTTTGCACAAAATCTCGTCTCAAAAGCATACATACCGTCAAACCTCTGACTCGGAGTCGATGTATCCGAGACTACCGGCGCTGTTGTCTTGTTTGCGTGCGAATCGTCCAGTTTTTTGTAAGCATTCTTATTGGCCTCTTCTTTAAGCGATTGCGACTGATCTGCAGACAACATATTCGTCAGCATAAGTCATATCTTATTCCTCGTCAGTAATAATATATACCGTTATTCTGTAAATCCTTAGCTTTGGCGATGACGTCCCTATGGTTTCTAACCACTCCAGACGTGGATTTATCGTTAACCCACTTCGCAATCACTGCCCATCGGTCTGGAGTTCCCGCAGGAAATAGTTTAATAGCTTTGATCAGCAGTTGGATGTCATCGTAACTCCAGTTCTTTTTGGATGAAATGTTATTCGTCTGACCATTGGTTGAGTTATTGGCCGACGAGAGGCCGATGCGCTCCGAATCTAACTTTGAGTTCAAATCATCGATTTTCTTGAGGAAAAAGTCTCGTTTCGAGTCTTCGCTCTCTAATCGCGAGAACTCTTCTCGAAATGTTTGCAATTCTTCTAAACTATAGATTTTGATAATTTTGTCGAATTCTTTCAAATTATCAATTCTTTTGGACTCATTTTTGGCGAAATAATCGTATGTTTCAAACATAGTCTCCAATAGTTTGCGCTCTTTTCGGATCTGTTTCTTCACAAACTCTTTCTGTTTCTTCTCCTCATTCTTCTTAGCCTTCAATTCATTCTCTTTTTCCAATTTCTCTAACCTTTGCTTCTCTTCGGCCTCTCGTTTCAGTCGCTCCTCTTCTAACTGTTTCTCACGAATGGACTGTTGTTTCGCCAACTTTTGGGACAACTTTTTCTGCTTCTCCTCCTCTTTGAATCGCGCGATCCGAGGGTCGCATTGGTAGGCGTTGTCGACGAGTTGTCGCATGCGTTGCATCTCCTCCTTCTTGCGCTGAGCCCTCGCGGCTTTGTTCTGCTTCTCCATCCATCGCCTCTCCTCCCGATTCTCTCCCTTTTCCTTCTCCTCCTCGTCCAACCACGAGTACTCCCGCCACGAGTCGAAGTCATACCAGAAGTTGTAGAACTTATTCACGTATGAAACGTCNGGATTGTAGAGCCATATAATGGCACACCATTTGGCTCTTCGTTGGTCCAAATGGTGGCCACAGATGTGATAGACAAGAGCGCCGGTCACGACATCCAACACCGAAAACAAGACTTTCCCAAACTGTGGCCATAGAGTGATATTAGGCACAAGAAGTGCGGCAATGAGTGGTGTGTATCGGTAGGTGTCCCTCAGGTATGGCGAGCGTCCGGCCCACACATGTCGGGCCCCGTCGCTGAAGATGGTGTAGTCGATGTCCGTATACTTGAGAGTCAGGTATTTGTCTTGAATTTCACTCAATATAATCAATACAAGTCTTATGACTAATGCATACAACAAATGACTAGAAATTGAGTGTTTGTTCACAAACGAAGCGATCGTTTTCAACATTTTTGGCCTTAAATTGCAATCAATTATTGATTTTGTTTACAATTTCATGCATTCAATGCATTGAACACATGCTTTGGTTTATATTATGACCATAAATATTGTCCATTAAATGCATACATAAATCAATCCCTTTCTCTAAAAGTATAATACAATTGATGTAAAAATGTTTGAAAATCACATTTTGTTCCCAATGTCTGTATTTATGTAATAAAATTAACACACATTTATATACAACTCAAATATAACGTAACAAATTGTTGTGTTTTCAAACCCCTGTCTATAGAAACGAATGCAAATCCAATGGCAAACAAAGTGAGCCCTCAGTGAAAGTGTGACACAATTAATGAGTGAATAATGTGCACAATATCTCACGTTTTGAAATGTAATTCCCATTGAATTCGGTGTTTGACATGAAATCCAATTGAAATCACATTTAATTAGAAATAGTTTTACAATTAGTTTATATATATTAACACCAATTGAGTGGTCAGTGCTTGACTCTTGTGATAATGTCTCACATCAATGGTAAGCATAGCTTCAAATGACACGATTGCCGTCACCTCCAAAGCACATGTCACTGACTTTGATGTCCGACACAGAGATGTCTTTAGTCTGCATCGAGTCTTACGACATCTGGATCCATAGACTGCTCCAGAAGTTAGGACTCATAGAGAGTGATGACCCGTCGGGTGGTGTCGTGGACTACACCGTCGACGACCACTTGAGCGAAGAGTATCTGCTGGGACTGGACCCGAAGGACTGGAAGAATCAGGACCACTACAGGATCTTCAATATCCACAACCGATTCTATGCCACCGCCGATGACGTGAAAAAGCAATGTAGACCTCATTAGAGCCACTCATTTGCCACCACTTATTGTGTTGTATTGTCTGAACAGATCGTCTGAAAGTGCTTCGACACCATCCGGATAAGAGGACGTCCGCCACAGGTCTGCCCATTGATCTCGACCTCGACTACTATTCCTGTATTACTAGAGGTTTGTATTCATGCCTGAAGATTGACCGCAAGAATGCATTTAATGTGAATTGTTTTGGTGTGAAAAGCGTACGAAATATTAGGCGATCCCATCAAAAGGAGATCCTATGATAGTATTGACCACACATTTGATGACGAAATTCCATC